TCGGAGGCCTTCGTTCTCTGTGGGACCTCCTGGTAAAATAAGTTCTAATACGGGAAACGTGAAGGGGTTTTTATCGAGGTTCCCTGTACATTTCAGTGACCTAGTTGGGACAGTATGGGATTTGGGGTGCCCTAGTGGTCCTGTTGGCTTTGGCAAAGCAAAGGGGAGTATGGGATACCCCTCTTTGTCTTTTGTCCTCTGGTAGACAATGACAGGATTATAGGGCTCCAGCAAGAAAACTCCCATTATTCCCAATGCTTCATCCATCCTCCTTCCAGCACAACAATCTCCCCTTACTGGGTCACCCCTCAGCATACTAATAAAACACTGTCATCAGACCACCAAGCCCCCACCTACACTCCTAATCCCCCAATGGACAGCGTTACTGGTACCCCCTTCTTCTTGCTCAGCTACCCCACCCCCTCTAACTGCCTCCATTAAAACACATCCACTCTCGCCCTTCCCCTTCTCTCTGCGCTCAGTCTCGAACCACACAGACTGAACACCAGCAGTAATTACAGGGCTTGTGGTTTGGATGGATTACCTATTTGGGATATTGTTCCATCCAAACTTCCCCTCCCCAAGTCTTCATAAATACCAGTGTAAACTCCTGATGCCTACCTTTGCTCACACAGGATAGAGGCATGTAACTCAAGGTAAAAAAGAAAAGAAATATGCCACATGGACACCTCCCCTCCCCTCCCTAAAGTCTACTGAACCATAATTAAAGAAATCTGTCAATTGTTGCCCAGTCTTTTGAATCCTTTCAGAAACAAACTGCTATAACAGTAGCAACTGAGAATTTTTTTTCAAAGCCCACGTTTAGGTCTGTATGCAGGCAAATAGCTGAAACAAGCAACAGCAAAAAAACATTTAATCAAAGCAAGGTCTTACAGGTCTACTTCAAGGGAATGGACCTGCAGTAACACATGTTGTTAGAGACAGTCTTTCAGGTGTCTGAAAGGAGTGTGTTTTTGAACACATCTGAATAACTCTTACCCTTGTAGTTTGGATGAACACGAGGAGCATACACTCCAAATTTGATGAGGATGGGAACGTTGAAACCGAGGCGCACCCACTCCACCACATGCAGAGGAAAAAGGTTGGGGGTGGTGGCTTCTTTAAACGTAGGAGTGAGATTGCAGTCCAGCTCTGCAGAGCCCCCCTCTCTGGCATGAACCAATGTTGCCTCACCTTGAGACACACCTGTAAAGACAACAACATATCACCAGGATGACGCATGGGATTCATTGTGGACATTTGCTGATAGCACAGAATGCAATAAAATGTGAGTAAACACATAAATCTTGCGCTATGAGGGCCAGAGAAATATAGGCCCTTTAAGGAGAGTTATGACTGCCAGAGAGGCTGGATTAACCTCTCTGGAATTTTTTTGGTCATATATTCCTGTGAAAATTGTTTGCCGTGCTGAGAACAGTTCATAAAACATTAGCAGTATATCTCGAGAGAGGACCACACAGGCAAGAAGAGGTCAAGACACAGAAAAGTTGGTGGGAAATAGACTGAAAAATGGATCCATAAATGCTCGTGTTGAACTGCATCAGATGGTGACTACACTATGACATCCCCAGAGTGTACGCTGTTAAAAGCTGGGCCATCAGAGGGCATGTAAAACAATCATGTGCGATTTGGTGACAAGATCGTATAGCCGCAAAGCATGCAAACACACAGCAATCCCATTAGTGACACCTGGAGCAGTCTTTTCTCGCTCTATCTGCCTCGCTGCCATGTGCTCACGTGGGTGTGTGCGCAACTGGGTGCCAGTGTTTGCTCTACTACTCATCTGGCCTGGTGATTACTTTAATCTCAAAAGGGGTGGGGGGTGGTGGTGATACTCTGATGCAGGGCAGCAGGACCCTCTGTCCTCTCTCCACCCGACCTCCCACCACCCCCTGGGGTACACACATGGTCTGCGGACCAGCAAAATCAATCCCACCACCCCCCCTTACGAACACATGCACGCACACAGAGAAGCGTGCCTGGGTTGGGGGTAGTATAAATCCCAGATTGATCTAAATCCACACCAACAGATATTATTTAAGTTGGATTTTGGCCTCATTCTCTCTTTCGCCCTCTCATGTCTGTGCTGTAACCCCTCCTCTTTACTTTCTCCAATGTAAGGCAATGGGAGCTGTGCCAATTTCATCATGGTGTCACTCAAACTGCATGTAGGCAGCAAAAGGCAACATATGCCAACTGCTGCACAACAAAGGACATACTGTAGTTCTTGTTGACGTCGGTAAACAATGAACTTTTGGTGAAGTTATGCAAACAAATGGCAGAGACAAATGGAGGAAAACAACTGGCTGTCTTACAAATTAAAGAGCCCAGAGTCTTATGAAAAAGACAATATGTTGGAATATACAACATGACTGGACACAGCATTTTATGCAGTTAGTACAACAGCCTGCTTTGTGAACCAGCTGTGAACAATTTCCAGTTGATTTTAAAAAAAAGAGAGCTAAATTTGCACAAATTCAATCAATTATTTTACTAAATTCAATCTAGATCCATTTTTCACTCATCATCACCCACCACTTAAACTGTCTGCAGCACAATTTACCAAACAAAACCTGATAAGTTAAAAGTGACAGTGGTTGTATAAAGACTGTAATAATGTTACATAAGGTTGTGAAAGTGATTTTTCAAAAACAAACAGTGACATATTGTACAGCAATACCATCGTCATGATCATGTAAATGTGATCCAACAAAGCAGATTTCATCAGTTAATCTGTGCTCTGCATGTGCAAGTCCTATTTACACATGTTGAGTGAATTTTCTATGTCAGTGTTACATAATTGTTTTACTTTTACTGTTTTTGTGTGTATAAACAAGTTAGCACAATAGGATCTACAACCATTTTTTGTTGTAGTCTGTCAGCTCAAAAAAAGACAGCTCCAGCTGCTTCGGATGACTGATTCAATTTTGGGAAAAGGTCTTTGATGCTTTGATAATATGAATGCATTTTGTGATTAAACAGTTTGTTAACAAGATAACTCAGGGCCGAGGAATGCCAGTAATCATTTGAGGAAAACTCTAAAAGTTCACCAAGAAGACATTAAATATGGAGATGCAGAGCAAATGTATGCAATGAATCCATATTTGCATTAGCATACTTACTTAGCAGACAGATGGCTACAACAGTGGTGACAGCCTGAAGCCACCGTGTCTCCAGTCCCATGGCCGTCCGTCACACTCCTTCACACATCTCCCGACCTGAAAGAGAAGACCACACATCTCGTTTTCTCTTCAACAGAACGCTACTGTACCATTCACAGATTCACCGCTGCACAAGGACATCCCTCACATCCCCCGTTCAGACCAATGTAATCCCTCAAGTTAACATCACCTCGTAATCCAACAACTACACTACATTCCAGACTGTATTCTTTGAAAACACTTAATCCTTTGGAAAATTGCATGTCTGTACTGTGGCTAGATTAAGGCAAATAAGCTATTCCAACAAGTGCTACAAATAGACAGTATGGCATGAGATTGCTTAGAGTATGCACCCTGTGGAGGTTTCCCTGCAGAGGCCAAAGTGTGTGTGTGTGTGTGTGTGTGTGTGTCAGTGAGTGTGCATATTTATATGTGTGTTTGTGTGTGTCCACAGAGAAGACCTCTACAAGGCTCTAAGTGTACGTACAGATTAACCTGATGCTTGTGATTGGTCCAGCTCATCCAGAAGGTCTCGTCTCACACTAAATAGGGCAACAGCAATTGACAGGTGACATGAGCAATACTGAAAGGTGTGTCTCCCCGACTCCAGATGTTATCCTATTACCAGTGCTTAAAAAAGGAATGTGACTGGAATAAATAGACTGCCATTTGGCAACGCTCTCTCCTTAAACTGAATTCACTCCATCCAGTGCAGTACAATGTTCAAGTAGCCAGTGGCAGTGAGTGCGGTTCACCTCACAGATTTGAATTACTCATTCATTCAAGCAAGTTGCGAACATTTTGGCACATGTTTTTTTACAATAACTACTTGCACATGGCTTGCTGATCAAAATTGATGAGTTGATTCTCACTAAAACTGCCAAACTCTTCATAACCTCCAAAGCATTAATTGTTTGAGCTATCACATTCAAAATGATCTATTCAATTATCAAAATCTTTCACATATACATGTATATTCCAGAAATATCTATGACATGAAGTCTTTGAGATGTCTGCTAAATGGGAAAATTACCTGCCTCAGTAATGAACTCGGAATCACAATCAGCATACTGTGAGGAGGTACAAACTGTTGGCCTCTTACTGAGCTACCACAGGTTTCTTTCATTTTTGTGGTGGTTTTTTGGCAAATGTTCTGTTCACTGTAGGCTATGTGACTTTACAATAAAGATCTACAGATTCACAGTACATGTAACACATTGCTCTACAAATAAATTTACAAATGTGCACATCCTTTTTCTTTGCACTACAGTATTGTGCAGTACAATCTGACCTACTGTTGAAATCTGACTCTAAAAAGCTCAATACACAATAGCATTCAGCTAGACAAAACTGGCATTCTTGTATCATACAGTAAGCAAGTATGGCTCACACAATGACTTTTTTTCATTCATTTTGGTGGTATTGGCCAATTTACTGACACAATAACTAGGTGAGTTATTACCATGTAGTTGTGATGTCCCATGAAATAGTTTAGAGAATATCAAGACTGAGCCAAAGTGAGTGAGAAAAACTGTAAATGCACATGCAAGACCACCAGTACAATCCACTGAGTCCTAATGAGTCCCACAAACAAGACTCCACTTACACAAATTGTGGGACTACTTCACAGTCTGAACGATGAGAACAGCTGAAGCAACTCGTGAGACCCTCCACCCCAAATTGGATTGGAGGCACAAGTTTAAGTTGTTGCCCTTCAAACATAATGGAAGACCTCTCCCCCTCCTCTTAAGTCACTCCATTCAGTACCCCTAATACCAGCTTATTACTTTAAGTTCATTTAAGTAATACAAGAAGGAGGCTATTCTTAGAAAGCAGGTGGGTCTTGGATATTAGCTGTGGATATAGCCACAGATTCACTGCAGTAACGCAGGGTAACTGAATACATGGCTGACCCGTTTAGTCTTAGCAGAACAAACAGAACAGAGCAGCAGAAAGATGCATTTATCTCCTTGCATTTGACCGACACAGGGTTGAGACCGTTGCTGCCGGAGCCGCCCTTGAAGCCCTGTGATAACTTTTGTTTAGCACCTTTCCGAAACAAGCAGAAAGCCAGACCGATGCCACACAAGAACTGCTAGTTTTTGCGTGACAGAATCATTTCAGTGCAGTGTTTGTAATGAGGAAGGGATTGCTCCTACTGTGCAAACATCATTCGCTCAGTAGGGTGTCGGAGCAAACAGGGCTCTTACAGTGGATTCAAAAAATAAAGAGATAAATCTTTTAATCATTTGTGTTTCACATCCAGCTGTCAAAAAATGATGGACGTGAATGACTGCACATCACTGCATCATCTCGGCTGTCATCCTCACGCCATTTTAATGACACGACAGCGAAAGAGATGAGCAGATCCTATCATATATCTGAAAGTCTAGCTCACATGTATACCTCAAGTCACTTTTGACAACCTCGAGACGTAACAAATCTCGCCTTCGCTTCTGCAGGCACTGCTGTGCTCCCGCACCAGAAGATATGACTGGCTTGTGAGAACAGACAGACAGATACACTGAGCCGACATATTACAGAGGAAGCCTGGAGGGGGGCTTTGTCTGCAGGTGCAGGAGTAGACGGGAAGACAAGCAGGTTATTTCCTCAGGCAGCAGAGCGGAGCAAGGGGCCATTTAATTGGCATGTAAACAGAGAGGACCTCAAGAAGAGCCCAGCTGTCCGAACACGGACTCTGTGACAAGTTGAAAACAGTGAAGCAGCAGTAATTCTTGCAGTTTATCTGACTGCGATCTGACAACAGCACTTACAGACCTGCGAGCAATCCAATAATTCAGCTTCAAACCAAAAAATAACTGTGGATTGGAGCTCTCGTTCAACGTTAAGGACCGTCACTTTAAATAATGTGTGAGAGGTGAGAGGGGTTTACTCCTACACACTAATCTACTCACAAGGGTATCTGAGGGGAAGTCGACATACTTAACAACTGTCTGCAAGTCACACTCAACCATACTGAGAGACAATGACATAACAGAATATATCACAGTACAACCGTCCTTGAGTTGAATTTAGGGATGCACGATGCGGATTATTTTCCAGCCTTTACAATAAGCGATAATTACCTGCTTCTCATGGCCAATAACAATAAGATAACTGATCATTTATGTATTTTAAAACTAAGAAATAAGTAATTTTTAAATTTTATGCACACCTGAGGGTAAGAAGGGCAAAGATGTAGTGAGAAAAGACGGATGATTTAATTTTCCATAGCTCTGACCAAATCTATACAAATAAATAATACATAATAATATAAATTTCCCATTATTGGCTGATCATTCACCAGCCCTGATATCAACTGTGTGTCCCCTCTTGAAATGAAGATGTGCAAAGGGGACGGACGTCAGTGAAACAGACAGAACTTTCCCACTCTAATAAAGAAGTTACTGGGATTAAAAAGGTAGGAAGTGACATTAGTATAAAAAAAGGTTACCACAAGTTTGTAGAAATAAAAACGAGTGAATTCGTGCGTCAGACATTTAGCTCGACACTGTGTCCTGACACAACTGACTGGTCTGTTTCACTGGATTTCAATGACACAAATTGCTTTAGATCTAGTCATGACTTAGCCTTCTGGACTGTACATTTGTAACACCCGGACTAATCCTGCCCTTCTGCTCCAAGTGTTAATAGTCTAATCAAATTAGAGATCAAATTGGTGAGACAAATCAAGGACACGCTGTCATCTAGCCGGGCAGTGATCAATCACTGGGAAATCGAGTCACTTCAGATTATATACTATACTGCTATTGTTGCTGGAGGTCCAATCCCGTCCAATCTGTCGAGCTAAATGTCTGACGCACGAATTTACTCGTTTTTATTTCTACTAACTTGTGGAAACCTTTTCTACACTAATGTCAGCTGCAAGCTTTACAATAGCAGACGACTTTGGTACCAATTTCATCAGAATATAAGAGACTCAAGCCATCATTGGCTGAATGTAAAAAATCTGTACCCCCCTGCAGAGAATTTAAATTTCGTCAGCTAATTAGCACAGAGGTGTTTCCAGAGTCAGCAATCAGACGGATGGATGGATGAGTTCTTGTGTTGAATGCAGGCAAGGAGCTGATTCCAAGCTGTCAGCTGTAACAGCTGGTGAGCCTGACCTGTCCATACGCATCTCCTCTGAATCGCACCAGAATTAACTGAATAATGCAAACTTTAAAAGGTGTGTGTTGTAATGAGCTAACAAGAGCAGTGCTGTAGTCAATTAAACTGTCAGCGTCTCTTTCAGTCTTCTAACTTCTCACAGAAACAGAAAACATGAACTTTTGACCTAATGTTTGTGAGCAGGGGACAAAATTAGCTCCAGCCAAATGCTTGCGGTGCACTTGCAATTTGGCTGGTGGACAAAAAAGTTAATTTTGCACCCTGTGTGTGAGGGTGTGTGTTACCTCTCAGTGCCGAAGCAGAGCAATCAGTGATGTTAGCGACAGATACAGGCTGTTAAGAAGTAGCATTACTCTCTTAGTAATCCTTGTTAATCTTGACAGCGGCCACAGCCTCCGTGCAAAGCGGCCTGTAGCTGAAGTGTTACTTGAGCAAAGTCTTTCACAGGTGACAACAATCTCATAGAGTTGCAGACATATCCCACACCCTAAGCACAACAAAGGCCCCGGATCTGCACACAAAGTACATGTGAACCACAATTATTAACACGAGACTGGGTTGTAAAACCTCGACTGGTTGAACCAGCCTACATAACACAGAAATCAATTCATGGATGTATCTGGCATCGCAACCTAATTTAGTATCTGTATTGACATTTAGTCTGACTAAAGGAAATGAGCTGGGCACACACTGGGCACGGGAGCCGAGCCCTAGTCTCGTGACTGGGAAAGCCCACTGTATATGGATTAACACAGTGTTGGTTGGTAATCTAACACATGGTGCTACTGACTGTAACAATATCGACTGATGGTTGAATGTTTTTTCATTTACTCGCACAGAGAAACGGACAGCGCTACCTTTACTACACAGTGCACAGTTTACAGTAATTAAACAATGCTGCAAATTACACACACACACACACACGGGTGGACTGATTCATGTATTTCCCCCCCACCAGGATGATTTCATAGAGCTCAGAAGTCTCAGGGGAGTGGAAAATGACATAAGTGTAGTGAAAGCAAAGCAGCTAACATCCTTCTGAGTCTTTGTCCTCCCCTGCCTCCGACTCCCGGGAACATTTCAGTCCCATAAAGCTTCTTTCAAGACCCGTAAGTAAGAGGAACTGAGGGGTCAGAAGTCCACTGCTGAGGCACGGCACTGGGTTTATTTTAAAACATATACACCCTAACTAAACCTAAATATTTAACCTGAAAGTGTTCATTAGTGCAGTTTCATTCCTTCATTTAGGGACCAGCTGTTACTGCCCAGATGTAAAAGGCAGTAAAAGACAAGTCAGTAATGACACGTTAACATACAATAGTGACTTTTTATGGTACACTGCGTGGCCCTTAAACTTTATTAGCCCCTTTCTTAGCTTCAGTTCACTACGTTTAAATACCTATATGTGCTTTTTCTTACACATTTTGTATATTCTTTGGTCCCCCAGTGAGCTTCAGCACACTGTCACCGATACGCATTCACTGCGGAGGCGAAGAGACTCTATCTTAACCACTAATAACGCAGCAATTTGGAGTAAACCACTTTCTACTCATGAATAATTTGTTTCCCAGTACAATCAATTTCCTCCAGCATGACAATCTGCCTACAGGGCACAGTTGGCCACACGGTGCCCTGAATGGTGAATGTACCAGTGAAATGTCAGGGCCTGCCAAATGTTTAAATATACGGGATATAAGTGTGTAAAATGACACCTGCGCTGGTATCTGACACGCACAGACTTTGTTAACCCGGAGGGCCTGGCTGATATATTCAACATTTCCTTCTGATAGAAAAAATGCAAAACTGCTCCTCGCACATAGCTGTCACCCTGTAAATAATTCAAAAGCAATCCCAAAACTGATTTATTATGTGGTGTTTCCCAAAAGGACCCGACTGGAAGTATATATTCTACTATATGAGGGAAAAAACACGTTTATTTATTTATTTTTTAATGTCAAAAGCGAGTAAAACCTTTGACAACCTACACAAGCTGATTAACGAAGGAAGCTTATATTTCTGAAAGTAAACAGTGTGCCTATAGAGTCAAATGGCCCCAAAAGAAAAAAAAAGGGATTACAGGCATCCAGAGTGATGTGTGCCTCATCTCTCACCAATCAGCATTGAGAAGCACAACAAAAACAAAGGAGAGGAAGCACTAGAGCTACATCAAGACGGCTGCACTCCTCTGTACAAAAACAGCTCAAATGAGGTTGTGTCCAGCACACTGCACCATGTGGAGCAGCAGGCAAATACACCGTCTGGTCCATATAAAACAGACCCCCGAGCCTCAACCTCCTTTTCTTTCTGCACCCCTTTACAGTGAATTGTGATGCTCAGTCCTCCGTATCAGCACACAGACCTCCTGTAAAACCAAACAGGTGCATCTTTTGTCTGAGTCAGTGAGTGTGATACCAGCTGAGAGGAGGGAGGGAGGCAGGGCAATCAAATGAAGAAAGAAAAACACTATTTTCTGACTGACTATTGTTTGCCATTATTTTAATCAAGGGGACAGGGTTCAGTTTTGGGTCATTGCAGCATGTTAAACCTATTCAGTGTGGTATTAAAGGGGGTGGGGGGATACACTCGGAGATTACAAGTGGTGCATGGGATACACTAAACATAAACAAAGGCGCGACGCTGCAGTGTATCACAGTATTACTACAGTGCATTAAGCAGGGGAAGTTAAAATGGAAAGCAGAATACAGGAGCTTTAGAGGATGCTTACCTTTGCTTGAGGCACTTTTTCACTGCTGGAAGTATAATCTTTCAATCCATTGGTGCTCTTCTTTTAAGACTCGTCTCGCAGACTCAAATTTTAACTGTTCTTTCTTTTTTTTTGTCTACAAGGGAGATTAAAAGAAAAGGGGCTTTTTTTAAATTAAATAAAAAGAAGAGAGAGTTGAATAAAAACGCAGGTGGTCACATTTTTGTTCTCAGTCCAAAGCGTGGATCAAAAGAAAATAACAATTATTCCTCGACATCCATGGTTATCAGACTTCCTTTAAAAAAATATTTGAAGAAAAATACTTTGCTGGTTCAATAAAATCCATTAACCCAAAACCACCTTCACGAGTCCGACATCAGCCCATTTAAAGTCCATTTAAACTTCCCACGCCTTCAGCTTTTTTTAAGTCCTGCAGTCGTCTTTGTCCAAAACTTGCAGAAAAGTACTTTTGATCATGAGTTTTTATAATTAACTTTTAAGAAACGCCCTCAATTTATCATCAAACAGGCGCAAGTTTCCCCAGACAGGGAGCAAACACTGCACGTTGAGTTGGAGCCCTGCTGTTGATACTCAGTGTGTCCCTCCCATTATTATCGATCCTCCTCCTCCTCCTCCTCCTGCAGGAGCTGCCAGAGCCGCCGTCAATCACACACAATGCACCCACTAACACTTCCTGTTACACCTTTCACAATGAAGGAAAAACACAAGAGGTCAAATCCGTTGTTAAAGGTGTAAATGAGTCATTTATCAAGGATGGATCTGTTCTAAAATCTGAGAATTTGCAGTTTTTTCTCTGTTTTATGTTATTATATAATAGTCACTGAACATATTTATATTTTTGGACTGTTTTGTCAGACAATAATCTATTTATAGATATCACCTTGGGCTCCATTTTCAGACAATTTCATTAATTTTATAGGCTACAAAAATCATAAATCAAATGTATCAATAGACATTTAGAAATGTCACAGGTGTAAATACTAAAATGAATGATCAGTTCTGGGTCCTGGTATTACGCATGCTGGTTCACTGTCACACACACCCATCACTATAAGTAACACCTGTTATTTTCCTACTATAATAATTCAAAATGACTGCTGTAGAAAAGGCCAAAAGACCTTTCTCACAGCAGCCATATTGACATGAAACAGTAGGATAAACACAGGTATTATTCGAACAGAGTGCTGCTATTGTGCATGTTGGCTCACTGGAAAGGATCTGCAAAACTAAGCTTTAATTCGCACTGGTAGCACCTGTGTTTAGCCTACTATTTCCTCTCATGTTGTGGTCAGGGACGCTGAGAGAAAGTCTGTCTTTATAATAAACAAAATACTAAATGTTAAATGCATGACATTCATAGTTTAAAAATTACTTTAAATGACCAGGATAAATGATTGTCTTTTTAATGGTTACCAACAATATTTTAAACATTTTAAAATTACTTTAAATGACCAGGATAAATTATTGTCTCTTTAATAGTTACCAACAATATTTAAAAAAAAATTAAAAATTACTTTAAATGACCAGGATATATGATTGTCTCTTTAATAGTTACCAACAATATTTTAAAAATTTAAAAATTACTTTAAATGACCAGGATAAATTATTGTCTCTTTAAAAGTTACCAACAATATTTAAAAAAAAAATTTAATTACTTTACATGGCCAGGATAAATTATTGTCTCTTTAACAATTACAAAAAAACATTTACACACATTTTTCTAACTTTTTAGTGGATTAAATGATAAAGAAATAAGTGTGTAAAAGAATGTTTGTTTAAATTTTTTTTTTAAATGCTTTTATGTTGAAGGTGAAATACTCGACTTCCGGTAACCTGCCGTGTGTCTCTGTGTAACTTGACGCTGAAGCTTCTTTAAGCGCCTCAGACAAAAGCGCTTTTTCGAGGGAAAGACAGACTAGACGAGACAAAAAAGGGCAAAAACAGACACTTTAAGGACACATTTCACCCTCTGCCGTTTGGCTACAGCCTCCAGCAAATAAGCAACTAAATATTTACAACATACAGTGAAGATAAAGGTTTGAAAACGGGTGTAAAATATTAAAAAATGTTAATGAGTTTTATCACCCACACACACACAACCTCCCCATAAATCCATTATATAAATATACAGACATATATTTTATTAGCACTAGTGAACATAATCAATATAACTTATCTTCCTGTAAGTTTATATTAACGTTTAATTTAATGTTAAAAGGCACAAACCTGGACTAGCTACCGTTAGCTAAACGATTAAAGTGAGAAAATAAGACGCCTTTTTAAAAACTTTTCCCTTCAAATATTTGACAAATATTGCAAAAACCTAAATGCCTAATGTCTCTAAGACCAGAAGCTAAGATAAAATTTAATATTTATACATTTGCTTTTTAAATTAACCCGCCTTTACGTCCTACAATTCGCTGCCATTGAGCTAAACGTGAACTATTATTCTCTCCATAAAATTATGAATTATTATTAATTATGCATTTATTACCATAGACCAAACCCATGCTGTTATGTTATCTATATATTTTATTTAAAAATTAGATGTTTTTCCTGATTCCTGACTTTCTATTTCTATTTATTTGTCATATTTGAAGTTAATTTGGATGCTCCTCCATATAAAAAGAGGGAGTTATGTAAGTTTACTGTCAAATATTTTCCTTATCTTACCTCAGGAGCAGTTCTTTTGATGTCCTGATGAGCTGATAGGGATGTGGTCGGTTGGGTTAATGGGACAAACACAGTTTAAAATGAGCCAATCCAGTAAGAGACAGTCTGTGTCACCACAGGAGGGCGACAGTAAACAGGCTGTGAGTTGGTTAAATATCATAGAAATATAAAATATAGTTCAGTCTAAGGTTATTATAGTTCACCTAAACCTAAAAACTAGGTGTGAAAAATCCTTTTATTTAACTGAAATGTTATTGTGTGCTTCCAAACTAACTTAAATTCAATAAAAAATATACAGTAAATGTCTTTATTTTAAGTCTTTTGGTCAGATTTGTCAGCAGAAGCACGAGGAAGCATTGTCTACTATTACTGTGAGTCTATATTAAACTTCTTAAATCATGCTCCTGACAGATACCACCCTATATTATCATAAAAACACTTAAACTAATACACACTAAACTAAAACTTGACATTTTTACACAATAAATGTACAAAACTGGAACAAAAAAACCAACTCTTGAATGTAAACTAAAAATATTAAACTATAATAACTCTGCTTTGCATATAATTTGGTACTTATTACTAGTTTACAGTGATTTTTGTACCATAATATTAGAAAGTAATATGATTTCTGTGAACATTCACTGTTAAATTACTGTAATATCCTTTGAATATTACTATGCACTCATGTGTCTGATCATCTCATATGTCCTTATACTGCCTGCCTGTGTAGTAATAATCAATATAATTCAAATCACATATTACCAAGATATGCTTAATGGTAAATTACTGAGACTATAGAGGAACGGTGCATTCACTCTCGATCCTTTATGTGCTTCTCCTGAAAAAGTAGACCAAAAAAAAGAAGTTTTCTAAGCTGAGGTGAAGCGTTTGACGTGATCTGCCTAATATAGTTTGTGGTTGGCGGCGGATTGTCGACACATTTGATTAGCGAGAGAAACACAAAGAGAAGCACAAGCGACTGTCCTTGAATATATCCGCCGAGACAGCCGGTTGCCAAGCATCTGCAACCTTCGCTGGCGTGTGTTTTTACAATTTACATATGGCATTATCCTGCAGCACAAAGTCACACTGAAACCTGACTGATGAGTTGATGGCGGAGAGGGAATGTGATTCGAACATAATGTCAGCTCTTAATTGCGTGTTCGTACTTCCCCTGTTTGACTATGTTTTCTCTCACAGGCCAGGTGCACCATATGGAGATCAAAGGATTGGAATTAATCACATGAAATCCTCCAAGAAAGAACAACTCAGTGAGGAAGAATTAACCGGAGAGTAGGACCAACCGTGGTGAACAGGATATTGATCATACTGTGGACAACGCCAGTAATAGACCTTTTATTAAATCCGTTATCTGCCAGGCGAGACACACAGTTTAGCCTCTACAGCCTGAAATCTGTGCACATTTATGTCTTAATAGACCATTTTCACAGCAGCCACTTTGACATGAAATAGTAGGGTAAATACAGGTGTTAATATCATTGTTAGCCCCTCTTTTTACCCTATTTCATGTCGAAATGGCTGCTGTGAAAAAGGTCCTTTGTACTGTAAATTCATTCGTTTTAAGAACTTATGAGCTCAAGTTAAAGTGATTTGATTTTGAGAATCGGCTCAACTTAAATAAAGGTGTCTAAAATGATCATTAGTTACACATATACTGTATTATAGGGTAAAATGTGTCCTATTATAGACCGACTCAGTGTAAAGTTAACAGATAAATAATAAATAATGCAGATTTCTCTCTGGTTCTACATAATCTGACCAATAAAAATAACAGTATACAAGTAAAAGAGACTCGTTAAATTACAGATTTATTATTTATCAAGCTAACAAAACAAATATACAAATTAAACAATGACTTATTTGGCTTCATAACAGCAGGCTGGCATCAACTACCAAGGCGTATAACTATCACAGTAACATCAAAAGATGTAGATAATTTACAGAATCTATTAACTTTACTGTCTTTAAAAGGTATCAGTGCATTTAAATTAGCACAAGCGGAATACTTTGAGTATGTGTGAGGACAGGAAGACAGCGGCTGAAGCTGTGTGGTGTCTGTCAGTCATCAAAGTCTGGGATATCATCATAGGAGTAGCCATGGTAGCCCTTTGAAGCATAGTAAGCTATTCGTAGGTGGTAAATTCCAGGCAGGAAGACGAGGATCCCGATGATAAGGACGGGCACGGTTCGGTCTGAGTGCTGAAAGAGGGGAAACATGTCAGTAAATATGTCGTTCATACTGTAAAAAAAACACACAAAGTAAAAGTACAAGTACTCACAGTGACTCCGAAGTATCCAGCCAGGAGAAGGGCGCCAATGATGATTAACAGAGAGCCGATTAGGAAGAGGACTGTGGCCAGTGCTATGGCTTTGTATGGGACTTTGGGTGGGCTCTTTTTGAACTGCAGAGAAAAGAGAAATATTTAATTAAAAACACTTTTCTCTGACACAGCAGGTTGAACCAGGCAGGCAGAAATTTGTCCGGCTCACAATGTGCTCTAACTTCTCGGACAAGTGAAGGTCTGTGTCTGGCTCAGAGATAGTTTATATCAAGAGGAAGACTGACTGACTGTATGAGCCATAAAACTGTCATGTTACATTATGGCCCACTTACTTAGTCATGCAGTATTAGTCACGAATATTATTCAGCATTTGTATAATGTCTTCAGTGACTCAGGAGGAGCTTTTACAACTATGATAAAGAAAATACCCCTGATGGTGTCATTAGGGTTATCTCAGTTTGGGATTGGGGCCTACAAATTTTAGGGATGCACAAATAATTGAAATATATTCTAAATCTAAACTGATAAAGGGAAGAAATGCAGTACTGTAGTGCTGCAGAGATGCCCTGGCCTACAAATCTGGTTTTCCAGACCCCAACAAATGTCACATCATCATGATTTTAATAGTTTTTTACAGTGGAAAATGAAAATTGTGACTGTGAATTGTGAGAAATGATCATTCCCACACTAATCGTGAATCAAAAGAGTTTGAAAAAGGTGGGAATTGAGCAAAAAAGAAGACATATATCAAGTTGCATTGTGGGAAATGTAGTGTTTTTGGAGTTTGACCCACACTAAACACTAAAAGTCAGGAAATATCAGCTTCTGCTGCCTCGATTTTGATTATTCTTTTAAAAAAATGTTTCTCACAATGTTATAAACGTGAAAAGTGGGTGAACTATGAACTTATAAATCACAACACAGAGAGAGCTGCAACTGATCGGGATAGGGAAGCACCGATACCGATGTTTAAAAGAACAATTTGGCCTGATATCGGAGTGTTTTGTTGTTATTTATTCACCCATGTGTGCCGGGAAACAAAGAGAGCTATAAAGATAAGACATCTCTGCCTTGTCTGCTTCTCTTCTCATCCCAGATGTGAGACGCAGTCGCTCCCTCTCCGTGTTTGCCTGCAATTTGTGGCAGTGCTGGAAAACGAAGGAGATCATTTCTCCAACATCAGAGTTGGAAATAACACGACACAACATTTAACCTGCGCAGTATCGACAGATAAACATCGGCCACTAATATCGGTGCATCCCCTACTACTTCTAATATCGATCGACATTTTCACGATTAATCGATTAGTTGTTTGGTTCATAAAATGCCTAAAAAATATTCACTTTACTCTCACAGAGGATTATAGAAACCAGAAACATTTGAGAAGCTGAAATCAGAGAATTTGATTAACCGACAAACTGCTGCAGCTCTACAACACAGAAATGATTATTATTAATAAAACATGAGGATATAAATGACATTACTCCCCCTAAAAATGAAGACACTCTCTTCATCCAATACAAGGATATATTAGGTAAGTTTATAGGTAAGTTGCACTATTTATATTTAATTTCCACTTTAGTAGTTTAGTAGTTTTAGTTTTTTAGTTTTAGTCAAGCTGAATTTTCTGCTCATATTTT